TTCGTGGGCGGCTGCTGCCGCGGCAGAACGTCCCATTGCAATGAGCTTGCATTTCAGATCTTTGATAACGCTGACTTTTCAGCCTCAGCACCAGTATTTCGGTATCAGCCTGATGCCTTCTGCTTACTTGGGTGGCCTCTGTGACTGTAGTGCCATGGATTCATGGATTTTATTCCTGAAACGCCTGTAAGACCCAAAGAATTTTGACATGCAGACAATGAAGTTACTTGGATCATTTCTGTTCAGATCCCTTTTGCATTACAGTTTATGTTGTTCTTCCTGATTTTGACACTGGGTTTTCTATATAAATCCATATAAAATTAAAAAACACTTTGCTGACAGATCTCCATTATTTTGAGAGTAAGCCGCTTCTGTGCAGACAAAGCCACGGTGACTTCTGTCACTCCACAAGGGAACTGTAATTTGAAATGTACATTCTGTCCCATCAGCAATTATTTCTATTTCATTAGTCTGATTATTTTACTGAAAACTGCATGTAAGACATGCATTTGAACTTGAAATCACCTCTTACGTGCTATGTTTTGAAGGCTCTTTCTTCACCTTTGTGTCTGCGGATATCTCTGAAGCTGTGTTTTGTTAGCATTCCTATATTTTTGGAAGTTGTTGAAAATGCTAAATAGAGCCCACCCTAGAATAAGTCTTCTAACTTCTCTAGCATATTGCCTGCTTTAAGGATAGCAGGATAACTTGGCAACATCTTTCCCTGTAAACATGCTACGTTTTGTCCCATTTTCCCAATTTTTACAGAAAGTCACAGAATTTTCCAGCCTAATTTCAATTTGTTTTCCTAGATAGTTTCTTTTAATTAAGTAGTTTTGGGTTGGGTTTTTTTGGGTGTGGGGTGAGGGTTGGTGTGTCATCTAGCAGGTTCTTTTTTTTTTTTTTCCATACTTTTTTACTCCACAACTTTACAGTTAGTATTGATTCTAGTCTGTTTTGGCTAGAGAAGATTATTTCAATTAAAACGTGGCAGCCCAATGTACAGCATAAATCCTAACGCATTTCCTAGGACACAGTGTTCTTATGACTACAGACCAAGTTCTTGGAAACAGTTGTTGATGAACAAGGAAGAGTTGATGTTTGAAAGCAAAACCCTATTTATTCTGAACCTGTAAGAAGTGCCAGTGTCTGGAAAATAAGAGAGCTCAAAAGGGGACATCACCTCTTTGGTGGTGACAGGTTGTCCTACACACTCAAGCAGGGTTTGTGTGAAGCCAAGAGGTGATGGATAAAACAGGGAAAGAAATGGGAAGGAGCTTCTAGAGAAGAAAAACCCAATTCTAGCTTGTTGTTTCCCTGCATATCTAAAATACGTAAAGATTGTACTACATGAGGAGGAAAAAGCTTTCATAAAATGAATATATAGGGGAGATGCCAGGAGCCCTCTAGAAAGAATGTCACCTTTCATGGCTCGTTTCTGTTAATGGGCACACTAGGATTTGTTTGGCCACCTCTCCTTCCCAAGATGGGGAAGTGTTCATTAGGTTGGCCTTGGAAATGGGAGGGAGGAGGGAATAAACTTGCTTGGTAGACATGAAGGTGATACTCCGTAGCAGGATGTTGTATGACTTGTCTTCTGTATGGAAAGTCGTAACATTATTTTTTATTGATTGCGAGCCTGGCATCTTTGTGGAAACCAAAACACAACCAACACCCTGGTTTATTTTAATCCCATTCAGAGACTGGGCTAAAAAATAAAAGGCCCAAGTTGCATACCATTCCTCACCTGTCCTGTACTCCAAGGAAAAGAGCAAATGCAGTTTTCCTTGACAATGAATTGCAAATATGAGCAAGCTCTAATACTGTCAAAGGGAAAATTATTAATGAACACCTTTCTGTGGTGTCTTCACACTGAAGATCCCAGTTCCCTTGCAGTCAGTGATGATGACAGCTCAGAGCTGTTTTTCCTGCGGTGGCTGTGGGGGCAGGGGGGCATCAGTAAACTTTCCCTTTGGGCC